TGTCGATTGGCTCGTTGGCTGTGTTGTATTCCCTTCTGTTTTAATGTGTCTTTATCTTCTTTCAGCTGATGGTTTTTGGTTCACAGCTACAGCTTTGATATTTTTTGGGCTCACTTTATTTCCTCTCGCCAGCTTTGTTTCCTGCTGTAGTTCAAACTTTATTTAGCTAAAGAGATTTAAACCTCTGTAAACTAACTTCTCACTGGCAAACTGCCTGTAGACAAAGCCCCAAAGACAGATATCCATCAGGAAGTGATAGGGACTAAAAGGAGAATGGATTAAACACATCATTCCTATGGATTGATCAAAATGTGTAAAACTGGAACTTGAAACCAGTTTTTAAAACCAGTTCTAACTGCTAATATCTTCTGACCTTTGCCCTTTTATAGGTACCTTGTTGCCACGGCTACCCTCAGAGCCTGGGATGACGCTACTTACAATAAGGATTGAAAAAATTGGGTTAAAGGACGCCGGACAGTGCATTGATCCTTACATGACCATCAGTGTCAAAGGTACAGATCCCACAGTGCACGCCTTCAGCAGGCTGGCCTGGAGTTGCTTTTATAACCTTCACAGCTGCTGCTTTCAGATTGGACACACCCTCTTTTTAGCTGTACTCCCACGCTCTCTGTCCCCTGTACATGAAAACCTCTCCGCCTTTTCCTGTGGCTGCAGATGTAAACGGTGTCGATCTGAACCCGGTGCAGGATACCCCCGTGGCCACCAGAAAGGAAGACACGTACATTCACTTCAGTGTGGACGTGGAGATCCAGAGACATGTGGAGAAATTACCAAAAGGTAGTCCCCGACACACGCTGGGTTCACAGCATGCCAAGTAATTTGTGTGATTTTTTTATTTATTTTTTGCTCAGCGTTGTCCGAGTAGAGGCAACAGAGCTCCTGCGGGGAGGAGCGGACGACTAGAAAATGAACCTGCAGTGAAAATAAAGCTGTTTTTACACATAAACAAAAACTCCAGGCAGTCCTTCTCACATGTAGCAGATATAAAAAGATGTCTCTGTCAGTCATGTTGATCCCAGAATGAATAGCTGACTGTGTAGTTTGTGCAGGAGCCAGGAAAGAAGACCGCTTGCTGGCTGTGAATTCTCCACACTTTACTATTAGTTAATGGTTAATTATTACTGCATAGGTGGCACCTTTGTGACCTATGTGACACCTAAGTTAATTCAATTCAATTAATTTCAGTTCTATTTATATAACGCCAAATAACAACAGCGCCTAAGAGCGCTTTATATTGTAAGGTAAAGACCCTACAGTAACCCCAACCATCAAACGCCCCCCTTTGAACAAGCACTTGGCGACAGTGGGAAAAAAAACCTCACTTTTAACAGGAAGAAACCTGACGCACAACCAAGCCCAGGAACAGACAGCAACCTGCTGCAAATTTAGAAATATTGTCACCTAGGATTTTGAAATTGATACCATGGGTGTATCGCTTAAAAAATCTCATGCAAGTCCTTATCTCAGTTAACTCGATCTCAAGGTCAGAGGTTATGTTCATGAAAATCTTGTGAATGCGATAACTTGGGAACAAGGGGAATTTGAAATTGATACAATAGGTGTATCTCTCAGGAGGCCGAGGAGTCTTGATTTAATGTGACTGGAATTGTCTGTCTAAACATATTCTCTCATATCCTCCTTTAACATTTGAGGTACGTTTACGTTTTTTCCAGGAGCAGCTATCTTCTTTGAATTCAAGCACTACAAACCCAAAAAGAGGTTCACCAGCACAAAGTGTTTTGCCTTCATGGAAATGGACGAGATCAAACCCGGGCCGATCGTAATTGAGCTGTGAGTCTCGCCGTCCAATGAGCGTTTTCCAGCGTGAACTGGAGAAAAATCTTCTCTCGATTGTGGAGTGAAAACTGCTCCTGTGTTTCATTTCAGGTACAAGAAGCCCACGGACTTTAAGAGGAAGAAACTGCAGCTTCTCACAAAGAAGCCACTTTATCTCCATCTTCATCAGACGTTACACAAAGACAGCTAAGTCGGACCACGCTTCGAACCTTCGAAGGCCTCTCTCACATCCACATCCAGCAAAATGTGGTGTTCCCCCTCATCGCATCAAGCAATACTAAAACAACAACAACAACGAAAAAACCTGTGGTATTTTTTTATTTTTTTTTCCATGAGTATTTGAAGAAAGTAAAGTCAACGAAGCTGGATTCCTGTCGCATCAGCTCACACTCAGATTTTAAAGTCTTTGATTTTGTTGTGAAGTGTAGGAAGTACCAAGTTTTCCAGAATCCAGAAGTAGCATGTTCGAACCACCTCATTTCAGTCTTCCGCAGCTCACTGATATTTTTTCTTTTTTCGGGGGGGTCAGGAAGAGCCGTGAGCATCTGCATCTGAATCCTTCAATGTTCAGTTTAGACTTTTAAGTTCAGCAAACCGAGGAAGACACGAAATAAATTAAAGACAAAACAGCGACAGCTTGTTCCATTGAGCCACAAAAGAAGCGCTTTTTGTAATCCGGGTGTATTTATGAAGTCCGGAGTGCACTACAATAATAAACTTTTATCATTTTTAGTTATGAACGGTTCATAATCACACATCTAACAGACGCAAGAGCGACGAGTCCTGACGTTTCCTCATTATGTCTTAAAACTAGTGAATTAACAGAAATTTAAAGGGGCACTAACCTGACAAAGAATCTGTTTACTGCCTGTCGCAGACTCGGTCTCACAGTTTTGTTTCCTGCTTTAACATTTACAGTTCCTGACATTTAGCAGCTTTGAATTAAAGGTGGCCTATTTTGCACAGATTCAGCTGCCGCCAGCTCACTAAGTAACATGTTGTAAGTTTCCCCGCTCAAAATGTCAAACTGTATCTGTTTAAACTTACACTCACTGGACACTTTATTAGGCTAGATCTTCTTTTCTTTTTTTTTTCAACTGCGCATCCATGATGCAAATGCCTGTGAGTTGTTCCACCACATCCTAAAGGTGCTCTGAGGTCTAAGGACTGCAGAGGCCATTTGAGTGCAGTAAACCTGTTGTCATGTTCGAGAAAGCAGTTTGAGATGGTTTAAGTTTTGCGATCTGGTGTGGTATCCTGCTGGAAGCAGCCATTAGTAGATGGGAACACTGGTCATAAAGGGATAGACGTGGTCAGCAACAATACTCAGGTAGGCTGTGGTGTTTAGACAATGCTCAGTTGGAACCAAGGGGCCCAAAGCATGCCATTCCATTCACCAGCATTTGAACCAGTGTACCTAACGAAGTGCAAGTCATGCAAGAATTGTGCCATCGGAAATAAACGTGCATATCATTTGAAAAGTACATTTTTAATTTTCATTTGTAATTAAACACTAAGCAAACTCAGTATGCACTTCATACTGGTTTAGTGAGTAGTCACATTCAGGTTTTTAATGATTTAAGTGGGGCCATCACAGGTAACATCTATAATTTAATCAATGTTTTTTCTCTTTAAACTTGTAGCACATGTAAAGTGATACTGGTTTTTAAAAAATGTGTTTTTCAGAAAAATTCACAAAGGGAGACGTTTAATGTCCCTATAAATCTGACAGTGGCCACGTGTCAGTGTGGATTTAGAAATGTAGAGGAAAAGGGATGCAGCACGGTCTGCATACTGTGGAAGTGTGTCACCATGAAGCGGATGTTTTTGTTTCATCGAGCAGATACGCAGTGTTGGATCACATGCTGTCGTAACCACACAGAGGGTTTTAATCCACTGTTACGTTGCAGATTTCGTGTTGGCTCTGTGTGAATGGGATTACGTTCAGAACTGTTCTTATGCGCTTGTGCTCTTCTTTTTTTTTCTAAAGAGAGCTCTTTCTTTTCTTGAGCTTTTCACATCTTTCTTTCCATTTTGACTCTATAGATGTTCTTCACTAAAACGTCTTGTAATTTTTGATTTTTAGATTTTATTTTTGTAATGTCACAAAAAAATCTGGACTAAATTAACTGTACACTAACTGATGAATATACAGTAACTGTGTGTATGTGTGAAGTGCTCTGATGTGGCAGGAGTGAGAACTGTGGAGTGTTTTCGTTTTGGCAGAATGAAGGAAATTGTATCAAACATTTACGGCGTGTTTAATTTCTAATAAACTACAAATGAGGCAGTGTGTTGATTTATTTGAACTGATATTTTTCAAGTGAGGAAAAGTTTATACATTAATATACTGAAATTGAAAAGTTAATATCAAGGAGTGACGTGTTGCTATTAAATATTTCAAATTCTACGAATAAAAATGTTTAATGTGAAGATGATGTAAAGACAGAAAATTGAGTTATAATTAGCACAGATCAGCACAGATGTATGACTACTTGATGTAGCTGAGGCATCATGTTTTGCTTCTTTACCATTTTGACAGATTTACAAACCCCCCAAAAAACGGAAACAGGAAGGTTCCTGGTTCAAATCCCCTGCTTTGGCCAGGGTATTTTCTGTGCAGGTTACCTCTGGGTATTCCAGCTTCCTTAATATTCAGGTAAATGTGGTTTGTAAGAAGGTGGTGGTCAGTAACACCATATTCAAGAATTTCCACCAAAAAGCCAACACCACAATGTTACTACCACTGATATCAATGGCTTTAGGAGGGGCTACTTGGAGAAATCTACCACTGAGTGCCAGATCCAGCCCACAAGACACCCTAGTTTCTATCACATAGCATACAATCCTCGGAGCACAAAGGCAGAAGTGGCCCAAAGGCAGCGCTGAATCCGAGACGAAGCATGAATGAGAGTGTCTTCTAGAACAGTGAGAACAGTGTGTGTATTTACTCCTTACACATTCTTTTGGTAGTGGAGTAAGCGGAAAAAGACTGAAAACTCACATGAACTCCCACTCGAGCATAAAAAACGTCTTGGGAAGCCTGAGAAACTTTTGTTGCACAGGTGGCCAACTTATTGACGTCATACTCAGACACACGGCGGGTCAAAGTAAATATTTGGTTAACTAAGAGACGTTTTTGATTAATGGAGCAAATTCACGTATTTCAAATAATTTTTTTCCCCTCATTTTTAATTTGAATTATGGCATTCTGTTGTAACACTTTCCCTCCACATAGAGGGACCTGGATTAGCTACAAAAGTTACATTTTAGCTGTAAACCAGAAAAAGAAACCCCAGGTAATTAAATAACAAAAACTGTCATCATCACTCTGAGCAATAAAAATGCAAACACATTGTCTCTGTACGTTTTCACATTCTGACTTAAAAGCACATTAACATGTTGGTGGAACGACTTCCCAGCTCAGCAAATCAGGTTAACCGAGCAGCTTTTTTGTCCTTGTCCCACCAACAGCACAATCACTGAGCAGTAGACAGTAAATACGAAACAGCAGCTTTCGGACCAACATGTTTGTATAACAGCACAGATGTACGCCTTATTTCTTCACATATATTCTTCATCGCACACCCTACAAAAACATCCTCAGTATTAACATACCACACACAGCTTTTATATTCTTTATTAATAAAAGTTCTACCAACATAGTAAAATAAGTTATACATCTGGCCGTCAAATTACACATTTGCTTTGAAATTTGTACGTAAAGCAAGAGCTTTGGGAAAAATCATGGTATTCCTGAAATGCTAGAAGCTAAACCTCCCTCCTGTTTCTCCATTTTAAAAAACAATTTCCACAGGAAATGACATTTTAAAAAAAAATCTGCCCCTTTAAAAATCATAGCTATATAATTTTCTTAAAGATCAACACAAATGAAAATCTGGCATAAAATGAAGTGTTATTGCACAGGCTGTTTAGAAAAGTGGCAACCCTTTCAGCTCACATTTCAGACATAACTGATCATTCTTTAATCTGCGGGCCTCGCTGTAAGAACATTTGCATCTGGACTATGAAAATAATCATGATCTTTGTTTGTACTGGATCTGGGTTGTTATTGTGACAGCTTTAGTTAACGGGGGTGTTTGAGTCCTCTGCCATAGCTAGTGGCATATTTAAGGCTTGACCATTTCTGGCCTGGCTGAGTCCTGAGGGGCCTCCTGCTTCATGTGCAGGTCTCGTCTGGGGACGCTGTGAGCGGCTACAGAGTTCTGGAGGGCATCGGGTGCAGGCGGGCCATAAGCATCACCAGGATGTGCTGGATGAGGCGGGGCACCTAGAGGCAGGTCCACAGGTTGGCCAGGGTGGTCACGTGGTAATGGGAAGCGCATGTCAGGAGGGAAGGGTGGACGAGGTCCCATGGGCCCACGGATGCCTAAACAGGAAAGTCACAGGGAAATGATGGTCACACAGACAAAAAGACCAAAGACCAGGTCTGTACTTCTTTCAGGAAATAAAGAAGACTTTGCCTTCTTCTGCCTCAGGGTCTTCTTACACATAGACTTTAGTAGCCCAAGTAGATGAACAGGGACCAGAATATATTCTTCAACTCAATTCTTTTCTTTTCATTTTTAAATCAGCATCACATTAGCATCTGCATTTCATTTACTTGTGGACAATCCCTTCACTCCTATTCTGAAAGTTCAGCTACTGCTGACCAGCTCGCCCCGGCCCTTCCTGTTTCATGTTAGTCAGCCAGGATGAAAACCACTGCAGCAGATTATGTTATTTGCCATTTTTAGAAGGGAAGCATAAAGTTGGCATTATTTAATAAGAGCTAAGCATTGTGTATGTTCATCTCGTAAGTCCAAGGAACCCCTCAGCTGCTACAAACAGAATCTAAATCTGCCAAAAGCTGAGCTATTAGAAAGCCAGAATGCCACCTTAAACTAGTTGAAACCGAAGAGTTGATAAGGCGAACTATATGAATGGCTTCCCTGATCAGTTTATTACATATTTTTTAAGTCCAAGTAAGATTGGCTTGGTATGACTAGAAATTAATGGTGGCTAATGTGAGAAAATGTCATGTATAAACATTTTTTAAAAATAAATATTTTTTTTGTTAAAGCCGTAACTCCTCTCATCATGTGGTACACTGCACTACTTTTTGCTCATTTACCATCATGCTATTATCCTCTTTGTTTATGAATGGCTGCTCTTCATCAAATTTTAAGCATTGCAAGCGGCTACAAATGGAGTTCATTTCCGGGCTTTACCATAACACTGCCTCTACTTCAAGCTACCTGGCCTCACTCAACTCCACTGTGAATCATGTCTAATAGCATGCTGCTCTTCTTCTGCATGATGAATTGGAATCTGAATCCAAAGAATACTGAAGATGATAACAACAGACTGTCTGTTGGCAGTTCAACTGATCTAAGTATGTCCCAGAGTTTGTGTTTTACTAGAAATGACAGTAATAATACTAGTAAAATAGAATTGGAAAAGATTAAGTAAAGTCGTATAGATGAGTTTGTCCTGTAAAGAGACTCATCCACCTCTCAAATGGCTTAAGTCATGACAGAGAGCATCTTTAGCGTGGTTTTCAACAGCTGGGTACATCATCTCAAAGATATGTCCACTGCAATCATGAATTCATGAACTGAAACATCTTGAAATGTGTTATTTTGGACTAGAAAATAAATCTTTTTATTTGACCTTATGGACAAAAGCCATTTTTACTTTCCTATTTGCACGTTATTTTTGGTTTAAATACTACTAGCAATTTAATTTGTATTACTTGATATTTTTATTTATTTCATTTTTATTCTGACAGTCCTGTTGAGTAATGTTGAAAATATATTTGATTATTTTCAAATTCATGCTTCCTGGGTCATTTTAATTTGTTGAGGGACAAGACAACATGGTGAGCCTAGAGCCTGAGGTTTGCACACAGGAAGTGGAGATAAGAGTTATGGAAATAATTGTTGACTAATCAAAGAAAAATTGGCAGCTTAGTCGACTACATAAATAAACGTTAGTTACAGCCCTACTCAGTACAACTATAACATTTTAATTAACTTTTCCCATTTTGGCTAAAACTTAAATGAGAAAGTCTGGCATATAAAGAGGTCCACATCAGGTTTATATGGACCTAAAAATAGAGTGTTATAAAAAAAAAAAAAAAAAAGTTGAACGTACCCTGTGGAGGAGGCATCGGTCCAAAGTGATGAGGTGGAGGGGGACGGAATTGTGGTGGGAGCGGACCCCGGGGATCAATGCCTGGGCCAGGGCCTTGCCTGGGGGGAATTGCAAGTCCATTGGGGGGTCCAAACTCTCCTCCCATTGGTCCAGGCAGGGGCATACCTGGGTGTCCATTAGCTGGTAGGGGAGGACCTTGAAGAGGAGGGCCAGGTGGGAGGTGATATGGGCCAGGTCGCGGTGGTCTGTAAGCTATGGGTGGTGGCAGACGGCCAGGAGGGAGCATTGGGTCATAGGGTGCAGGACCAGGTGGAGGTCCGTGGACCATGGGTCCAGGTGAGTCCCTGATTGGTGATGCTATGAAGGATCCTGGACCCTGGAAAACAAACATACATGACAATTTGAAGTGACAACTTTCATGAGAGTATAGATGGGCTAACACTTTGTCATGCAGTGAAGTGATCCAGAAACCATACAATGCATTTAGCCAGGGTTTAATCACATGACCACTAACCACACACCATGGTTATTTGGATTAAAAACAAGCCACTTTCATAGCATCTTGATATATGACACACAGACTCTGCAATTTTTCATAACCCCAGTATTTCCAAGACACATTTTTGAGTTGCTGTTTCTTTCAGTGCAGTGAGATGAAAAACACACTAAGCCTAAAAAAATGTTTAGTCAGCCCCAGAGAGAGAGAGAGAGAAAAAAAAAAAAAAGCCTTTGATCCCCTTCCAAATCCAAATCCAAATCCAGCTTTAGGGAAGAGGATGTGGAGTGCTTCCAAACACCTTCACACCAACACCTGGACTGACAGCATCTGTACTCACTGCCTCTGGATTCTCTGTGGTGACCTCAGCCTTAGTCTCTGTTTTTATCTGTGGATCTACTGCTTGCGTCTGTTTCAGATTAGGACAAACACAGTGGAAATGCAGCAGGAGCTCTAAGTCTACACATGAAAGGAGAGATGGCATCACATAAAAATGGGTTTGATATGATTAAAAAGAAACTTACAGATGCATCCAAGTTGGCTGGAGATGAGCTACGTGGGCCCATCATGTCTGAAAGAGGGGAAACAGCACTGCATTAATAACAGGTTCAAAATAAACACAAACCCTTCGAAATGCACAAACTGCAGAGGACATACCCATCCCAGAGATGTGTTTTTCAGGGTAACGACCATGGGGATCTGATGGAGGGCGAGGACCTGAGGGTAGAAAAACACAAAACTATGAATAACTAAAACTCCATGGAGCCCCTTCGCAGGGAAAACACAGCCGCAACACACAAAGTAAGAGGAAACAAAGAGACTGTACACCCTAGGAAAAAAAAATAAAATAAATCAGAGGTACAAAAACCCCCCAAACCCTTGCATTTAAATGAAATCATCTTTGATTTCTAAGAATAACTTATTCACACATACAAATTCAGCAAATCTTCTTCCACAATCTAATCTTGTTTTAATGAAACAAAAGCAAAAGCACATTTCAACAGAAACAAGCAAATGATCCAACTGAAAGGGGAGGGAGGGGGAAAATAAGAGCTGGTACCCGAAGGAATCAGGATGCAATACACACTAGGAAAAATATAAAAGGAAAACTTGAGGTGAGAGAGCTGAAAAGAAAAATAAAGTCAGGAGGAAAAGAGGAGAGAGATGAGGTTGTAACGGAGAGTGATGTTCCACTTGGGTAAAAAGGAAGTGGGGGAAGCAATCCACTTGGACTCACCAAACGGGTCAATTCTCCGTGCAACTGGGGCAGAAGGAGGACGCCTGGGACCCTCAATCATTATAGGTGGGGATGGTGCACCCCCACTCACAGGAGAGGGCCCGTATGAGTCACCTGTTACAATTGAACCGTCAATTTACCAAAAGAAAAGAACTGCAGCTGACAAAACAACACAAGTCATGCAATAAAGAGGTCCTCACTTCAGGGTCTCCAAGAAAAATCAAGCACATGAACAGGACAAATACACAATCACAACACATATGAGGCAAAACTGGAGCCCCCCCCCAACAGAAAACAGTATCATCTTCAGTGGTTCTTCAAGATGACAGCTGAGCTGATGGAAATAAAATAGAGGGTGAGATGTGCCTGCTTACCTTGGCGAGGGCCTGCAGGCTGACCAGAGTTTGGTCTGAAGAGAGGAGCGCGGCGCTCATTGAGCTGAGAGGTGAGTACAGCCAATCTGTGAATAGGAAGAAAAACAGCTCAGATGCAGTTAAACTGGGCTGTGGCTAATGGCAATTTTAATTATCTGATGAAAATGTAACAGAGCCAGTGGTGACGTCATTAAATTATTTCACAGTTTGTCCAAAAAAAACAAACAAACAATCAATAGCCTCCAATTTATTCAGCCTGAAGTCACATTAAGCAGTAATAGGAACAGCTATGATGTGAGGTAACGACTAAACATTTTCAGGCTTTCGCAACTTCCTGTATAGAAACAGCCTCATTATGAGTAACAAACAAAATTTCTGATACTCCAGAACAACAAGGAAGCTTTAACAATTGCCAAAACTCACTTTTCACGAAGCTTCGATGATTCGAGCTTCTCTTGGTTTAGAGCTCGCTCTGCATTACGAGCGTTCACCTGCAGGCAGCACAAAGAAGCAGAGTAATGCTTTAGCTCAATATTAATCTTACACAGACTGAATAAATTATTTATCGCATCTGTAAACAAACGGTGTGGAAACATACCCAGTTTGAGTGAGTTTTGTTCTCCTGCTCTTTAATCTAAAGAAAGAAAATCCCATTCAGCCGAGATTCAGATTGGAGTAATGTTTTTATTTTGTTGGCTAATCTGAAAACGTTTAGATAAAAAACAAACAAACAACAACAACAAACACACACTCTACCTGCTCTTTGTAGACTTCCTCAGTCTTCTTCATCTGGTCCTCCATCTCATTAATGCGCTGCCTTAAAATTTTAACCTGCTCCTCAGCTTCAACAGCTTTCCCTCCAACCTCCGACAGCAGATTCTCTTTGCTGCGCCGCTCCAGCTCCTCCTTCGTTAATTTCCTGTGTGCGCAGAGAAATAAAGTAACTCCCAGTCCTACAAATCACGACTAATGAGAGGTTTCACTTACTCATCATCATTCATGGTGTAAAGACAGCAAGAAAACATTACAACTACAAAAATACAGAAGACTTTCAGTCATTCACAACAGGAAGTAACAATTTCGAATCTGCTGAAGACTTCACTTACTGCTGCAGGGCATTTTCCTTCTGCTGATACATTTCGACCATGATTTCGTTTTTCTGCTGGAGGATCTTGAACTGGTTTTCAATGTGGCTCTTCTCACTTTTCAGGGTTGAGATTGCATGTTCAAGTTCCTGGTGTTGCTCTGTTTTAAAATAAAACAAAAAGGAGTTTAGTGGGATGCAGATACCCAACTGAATTACACAACTTCTTAACCCTTGTGTTGTCCTCGGGTCAAAAATGACCCCTAGGTGTATGGCAAACAAGTGTACGGGAATCCCGAGGACATTAAACAAATTCACAATGTACCTTCCATTGCCTTCCTGGACTTCTCTTCATTCAGTAGTTTTGTCATGAAGCGATCCCGCTCTTCTTCAACTACAGCAAGAGTGGTCTGAACCTGTAGGGAAAAATACAAGAAAATGCAATAACATTTAGAAACCGAACAATCCTCTATAAACTAAAATATAATAAGCTTTACAACATCTGTTGATATCTCACCCTAGAAACATCCATCATCTGTTTGATTCTGTTCTTTACGGCCGTCTTCTTGTCTGTAAGAGACACTGAAAGAACAACAACACACTATATTAAACAGCGGTTAATGAAACTACGCGCCGTATTTCATCCATTAATATTCTGATAAACTACAAACGTACCAGGTGCTACTTCACCATTGGCCAAAACTTTGGTGTCACCTTTTTGTAAATCACAAGCTTCCAGGTCAGACAGAAGTTCAGACAGCACCTGAAGTGGATATGTGCAAGAGTGAGACGATTTAATAAATAAATAAATAAATAAATAAATAATAACAAAAATCAGGAAGAGTTATGACAGTAATTAGTGAAAAAAAAGTGACCTCCACATTGTGATCTTTGAGCACCACAGAGTCCTCCAGTTCTTTCTGGGACTTCTGATAGACTTTAATCTTCTCATTAAGCTCTGTGTGTTTTTCCTCCCAGCTTTTAATGGTGACCTTCAGCTGTTAGAAGAGACAGGGTAAAAAGCATAAATTAAATCTGATTAAATATTCAGATTAATGACAATATAAAAGAGAAATATCCATATCTGTCTTACTGTTTTGTTCTCGTCCTTTAACGCAGCAAACTCTTTCTCAAGACATTTTTGTTGAACGTTTCGGGCATCTTCCCGAATCTTGGCTTCATCCAGGAGAACAGTAGTCTATGGATGAAAGAAAACAGTTTATAAGATAAATTAAAGCTAAAAGGTCACAGTAACACTACAGAGTTTGCAAAAAAACTATCCCAAAAGGATTTGTACCTTAGAGAGCGCTTCCTGAATCTTTTTCCTGTTAGCTTGTAGCTTCTCATTTAACTTCTCTAATTTCTCAATCTGTTAAAAATAAATAAATAAATTATTGCAGCATGAATCAGCGAAAAGAATGCAAATAACAACGAGCAGAAAGCAAATGAAGCACTTACTCTTGTTTCATTTTGGAGAGTGTTTGCCCGCTCTTCCTCCAGTAGCTGTGCGTATTTGTCCTTTTCCTCTGCCATCTGTTTATTCAATGTTTCAGCCTGTAAGACTTTACTCTGCAAACAGTAACGAAAAAAAATTAACAACAACCCTTCAACAAATAACTGAGTGTCAACAAAGATTCAACCCAGTTACGTAAGACTAAATACATGAGAAAGACTCTTACTGCTTACCTCTAGCTCTTGCATGTTTTTCACTGCACAACTAACAGTTTCCTTTGACTGTTTTTGATTTTCTTTCAGTTGTTCAGTCTTTTACAAAAAAAAGAAAACATGAATCAGATGTGTTTTATTTCTTTTTGTCCAGGAGAAACTCAACAACATTTCTCTTTCTGGGGCTCACCTGTTTCTGGAGTTCAGCCATTTTGGCAAGAGCTTCATCCTTTTCCTTTTTGTGCACCTGGATTTGCTCTCTGAGTCTTTTTTCATCCACTTTCCCCATAACACAAAGCACACAATCAATGAGGCCGTACACATATGCATTTTGTCATATTGTGGAAAAATTATAACTGAAAACTTACCGAGGTACTCTTTCTTCTTTATCTTTAAAAATAAAATTAAAAAATCAATTTTAAATCTTACAGTGTATAATATCATCCAACAATGACCTAAATATGGAAGATTTTATACTGTGTATAACTCAATCCAATGGGAGTATAACCCAGGGGGATACAAAGCCTTATTAAATCAAAGCTCATACAAATAATATTGGCATTTTACTGGCGCCAAATAAACAGAGCAGCAATATCACAACACTTACTGCCAGCACAGTCCTCCAGAAGAAGAGGGTGAAGGTCAATACTCCAACCAAAGCAGTGATGACAACAGCTTGCCAAGGACAGCCAAACAAAGTTTCTCCTGGCTTCCACTCTTCAGGCAGCAATGAAATCATCTGAAGAGACAAAAAAAACCCACAACCACAGCTTTAACTCTGGAGAACGAAATTAAACTGGAAACAGATGGTTAAACTAGCACTATGCAATTCAATTATATCGATTTCTAGTTACAAACACAGCTTTCAACAGTGGTGAAAAGAAGATTGAAAAAGAAATTGATTGAAAATTATTTTCATAGCGATGCTCTTATTTTGTCTTATAACTTGATTGCACTTTTCCTTTCATTTTCTCATTTTGCCTATCGCAACATCGCTTTTTTCTCTCAGTAAAAGCCTAAGTTCAGGCTGTGGCATGAATACTTTGGTTTACAAAAATGTTTTTTTTATTTAACTCAAAGACACTTAATTAAAAAGAGACAAGAGAGTTACCATGTTTCAAAATGTATCAAAATAATTATGACTATAATTCTGGCTGTAAAATAAATAAACAAAAAAGCCCAATGGAAAAACAAACTATACAATATACAATAAAAACACTGCAAAAGCTCTAATTAAACATCAAATTAAATCTACCATTAGACTAAGACACTGTGCATACATTTACCAAACTATGACACTTCAGTAAAGAGTCATCTGTAACTCAAATAAGCACTCATTACAACCAAGATTAGCAAGAAGAGCATCTCTGTCCCACAACGAATCTTAAGGCTGAAAGGCTACTGCAGCAGCAGAAGTGCCACTCTTGTAAGCTAGAACAGGAAACTAAGGATATGACTGACATGGGCTCAGCAGGATTGGACAACAGAAAACTGGAAAACATTGCCAAGCCCCCAAGTATTTATCTAATAAAGTGGCAGCTGAGTGTACGTGATAAAGGACACAGGATCAATATATAAAAAAAAAAGATTAGTCTACACTCTCAGTTTAGTCACCAAAATAATTCTGTTGGTTATTTATTAACATAAAAATAACATGTTTTTCTACATTGATCTATACATACATTTTGAAGTGATGTAGCATTTCATACATTACTTGATTAGGGAGCAATTCATACTATAAGCTTTTCTCTTTCACAAGCTAGGTGGGTTTTACTTTATAGTTAAACTAGCTTCATTTATGCCCAGTCATACCAAACCGAGCATATTAGTCCAATCAAAAAGAAACCTTTGAACTCCCCATGAGACAACAGTAGCAAACACATACATGCTCTCACTCCGTGGCTCTAATAAAATACAGGGATCACAGCTGCCTTAATACTAATGGCAAATATTAAAAGCCTCTCTTCAATTTACTACTTTTCAATTCTAAATGTTCAATACAAATTTAACAAAGGCTGGGCTGTAAGAAAAGTTAGATAGCAATGAAAAGGGCACAGGACAGTGAAAGGTCTTCAATCAAATATACAAGACCGGGTCGACTGCTGCTAATGCTAAAGGCAAGTTTGGTGAGTAGATTTAGGACAAGGAACCGTCCAAGTCATTATCCATCAGCCACTTGCTAATTAACACGTCATGGTTAACCCCACAGGCCGTGACAGCGTAAATAATAATATTCATATAGGTGTCAGTCTGGCTTTTTTTTTTAAATACTGAAATGAATACTTACATGTTGCAGTTCCTTCACAAAAACTACATATGTGTTCTCCGGTTCCATGACAGGCAGAGATAATGTCTCCCTCTCCATTCTCGTGTTTAAAAACAAGAACGGAACTAGCCAGATGCTAGTTTGACAGGTATCAGCTAGCTGCCTAGCACGTTAGCTATCCACAAAGTAGCTGTATCGTTAAGCAAACGCTCGGTATTCAGGAGCGTTAATGTCTCCCGCGTATGAAAGACAAATAAGCGGTCGTTAGACAAATGGACAACGTAAATTAGTGGAGATAGGAGTTGGTAACAACGACTTGCTAACGGTAATTACAGATCACCCGTCAAATCCCATTCACAGCCGTTATCGTGGAGCAACGGTCGTTAGCAGAGTTGGTGGTTCTGATTATGGATAACGACTGTAGCGACCAAAAAAAGGCTACACTAACTCAACAACACATTATCTGCCTGTACATGCCACAATAAGGCCGTTAGCCCCAGCAGCCAGCTCAGCACCGGCTGTGTTGAACTTCAGCCTGTACCTCGACAGTCAACAAGGCAGGGGGAGGGCCGGAGGGGGCGTTCAGGGAAAACTGGAAATTTGAGTTCTCACATAATGCACCACACTTTCAAAGCAGTAAGACCGACTTCTATGTAGGGCGACCAGAGGTGTACCCACACGATTTTAATCCTCTGTCCCACATTTTGGCTGGCTCAACAAAAGTCTCTAAAGTCATGCAAGTCTCCAGCTCCCCAAAAACTATATGTGGGGGAAAGAGTTTATTCATGCGGACAAATGTGGGATAGTGGAATGCAACATTGCAATTTTTGGTATCTGTTCAATATTACATACAGTATAAAGTATACAATTATATAAAGTATATACAGACCCAGCTTTGCCTGTGTCAGTACTTTTAAGAGCCGCATGTAATGATTTATGAGGTGAATGCATCATCAATAGCTGATGCTTAATCTGAATACGTTTTTATGACAAATAAATTGTGATTTTTGCATTAATTGGTTAACAAATCACAAGCGCACCTTTGACTGTTTTTCCCACATTTTGTCTTTTTTTTTGAAGTGCTGGAATTTAAATGTGCCCTCCTGGCAACCACTTTATGTCAACTCCTGTTATTTTAAATGTGCTTAATAAATAAAAATGACTTGATAGTGAACCAAAAAGGGTTCTTATACTATACTTAAATTACTTAAATATTTTCATGTTCAGGATATATTTTTTCAGTTTAAGTAAAATTTAACACTGAAGTAAGTGTTAAATTGAGTGACATGAGAACAAATTACAGCAGAACTGGAAGAAGGAAGATGAGCGAAGTGTGGACAGGACTGTGGGGATGCTTGAACAGACATGCTTACTGTTTGATGTAACTGAAGCGACATACTCAGAGGAGATAAACTAAAGGATCAATCCTATCAAACAAGTACTGATCAGATACCAGTACCAACGCCGGTATCTATATAATCAATATTTAGATCGATCCATCCCCTCCTATTTTCAGAGCAGCAAGACAACAGTCTGTGATGTCTGCCCCAAATATTGCGACAATGCCCTACATTTTGGCTGGCTCTACAAAAGTCCTCGCCAGTGATTCTTATAAAACAAACTTATAAACAAAACAGTGGATCATCTGCCTCCATTTCACCCTATTCCTTGAATTCTACTCTATCACACCAACCCTCTGATATCCTGCTGAGCATCTTAGTCACTTCCAATAAAATCTGAGCATCTTTAACGCTGTCATCTCCAGCTGAGGCTCCTGTTTTTTATTATTATTGATGAGCATAAATGGAAACTAAAGTTCATAATTGGTCCTATGGAACAGTTTTCTGTACATGCTTCCAACAGCTGTCATTGCAGTTGCTGTCTTTTCAGCTTTTCTGTCTGCTAATCATCTTTGGGTTTTAGCAGGGATGCATCCAAGTTCTCTTTGAGTTGTTTTGTTCTGACACGAGTCCATTTTTGTAAATTAGAGTCATTTAAAATGCGGGACACTGTCTCGATATAAAAATGCTGTACAGTCTCACACTCCTGAAGACACTAGTCTCACAAGAAACATTTTGGTTTAAAAATTGATGAGCTGAACTATGAATGCTTCCTTGCTGAAAGTACTTTCATGCTTCCAGCTGTTCCCTTATTTCCCAAGAGGTTGCCACACAGGAGGGAACCACATGTTGATTTGTTACAGATACTACACCGGATGCCCTTCCCACTAGCTTGTGACCCCTGAGGCTAGCTTTGTGTCTCCTCCCAGTCTTGAAACAGTGATCTTATGAACCATTTGCTCTTTGAATGCCTCCCTACTAAAATCCCCAAATTATTACCACAGAGATAAGAGGTGGAAATTTTAACAGTTACAGTGATGCAAACAGGAAATGCAAGACTGCACAAAGACTGCCACATAGGACCATAAAAAAAATTCAATTTCTCTTTATGTCTATTCTATAGTAATTGAGTTTAACTAAATTAGAGTACTGGTAAATCAAAGTTTATTTGTGATTGACCTGATCAATGCCAAACCTGTAACCTGCACAGTATGTGTGTATTCATGTTTTAATTTAGATCCAAATCCCTCTCAGAATTGGCAACACGTCCCACAGAGTCTTCGCAAACAAACCCCTTTCATCACATTTAGTTTGCCCGGATCTGGTTACCCTAGCAACATAAAATATGGTGCGGAACGATATCAGAGAGGCCAATACTGGTGGTTCAAATGTTTTGGGTTTTGCTGGAGGTGCCAAGCTGTCGTGGCTGTTGTTCTTCCACGTGATAACGAGGCCTCTGTATGTTAAATGAGTAAATTGTTTCTTCAGACTTCAATCATCCAATCTAATAAACCACGCCAAAAAGAGTCAATAGCATACTCAACTCTGCTGCTCACCCCAACATGTGATTTTCCTTATAAATTTGCAGCATTTAAGGGGAACAGTCCCAAGAACACTGGTACAACAAAGAAATTATTAACCAAACACAAATTTTATTACTTTTTGTGCCAAGTTTACTCTGTTCCAAAATGTTTACTCTAGACAGAGAAGGACCGATATATGTGATAGCATAATTGGCCTTGATTTGCAATATGAAAATAAGAAACTCTGCAAAGTCAAACAGGTAAAGAAGTCCTATAATATCGTTCAATAACAGTCCATTTTGAATTTCCTAGTATTTTTAGTATGTCCCTATGAACTGTGAGTGATGTTAGGATGTCCTGGGATAGCGTTAAAAAGTACTTAATAAGTTTTTTCTTTCCTACTTCCTTTAAAGAAGCCATCAAGGGAACATTTGTTTATTCATTTTTCTGTGCGGCACTCAAACCAGCAACAGATATTCCACATACGCAGACAGAGGAGATGATAGAGAACTAATTTCCTAGTTTAACTTGTTCCTTAAAAATCTGCATGTTTGTGCTTCTTCCCTGCACATGACAGAGAGAGATCAGAAAAATCTGACATTATTTTGACGTTTTTAATTGTCAGATCATCGAGACTGATTACAGATTTAGATTCATTTGGATGTTGCTGAAATATTTCACAAATTAGATTAGTGAATTAGATTAGTGGTGAATCTAATGTATACAGGATGTGGTGTATACAATGGTGGTACACTTACCACAGTGGTCCACTCTGCAGTTTTATTCGTGATCATTGCAAGGATGCAGCCCGTGTAAACAAGCCCTGTTGAGAATAACCCCACTTCTTCTTCGTGCACTTCGGACACTGGTTCCATGGAGTCCATAGACCCTTATCAAGTAGAATTTAACAATTAGTAAGTCTGTTTGTTATTGCTGGATTATGTAAAGCTCTTCTATTAAAGAATATAGTTAAATATCAACATAAAGGCAAAACCATATGCAACTAATATAGTGTAACTTTAATATGATAAAACCAGAGGAAGCTTAATGTGACTGATTTGCTGACCTCAAGATTATCCCATTTTATTGTAGCCAAAGTCCAAAATTCTCAGAATGCGTTTACATGTTCTAAATATTTCACAAAAGCAATGATATTTTAATAATGGATTGCATTTATATAGCGCTTTTCGAGACCCTCAAAGCGCTTTACAATTCCACTATTCATTCACTCTCACACACTGGTGGAGGCAAGCTACAGTTGTAGCCACAGCTGCCCTGGGGCAGACTGACAGAAGCGAGGCTGCCATATCACGCCATCGGCCCCTCTGGCCATCACCAGTAGGCGGCAGGTGAAGTGTCTTGCCCAAGGACACAACGACCGAGACTCGTTGTGTCTTGTAACCTTCCGGTTACAAGACGAACTGCCAACTCTTTGAGCCATGATCGCCCCATTTTATTAGGAATCAAACATTTATGCTCCTTTTTTGTGACCATGGCACACTAAGGTTCAAGGCACAATTTCAATGGGGAACCTGTATTACTATTTACACCACACAGCCTCTATGTAATCTTACATATTATAACTGTTGGTGGAAACCTGCAATTTATTTCCACTATACCATTGCTCTAAAGACATTACCAACCTGAGGGTGAGTGTTCAACCTCAACACCAAGGCCCATGTCAAAGGCATTTTCCAGGGTGGCTTGAGGCACCTTTTGCATCTCATCAGATGTGCTGAAGCTCAGCGGATTGTCTTTGTTTTTATTAAAGTGTCCACCATCTTCCTCCATGCTAACGTCCGGTCTAACCAGCTGTTCCTCTTCAACCTCAGCTGGCTTTTCTTCAGGATCCGTTATTGTCAGGTTGTCATCGCTCTCGGCCTTTGGTATTTTGTCCAATTCTTCCTCAGCAATGTGTGGCACATCTTCTTTAACATTCAATTCCTGTTCATCTGAGATGGAAACATAGAGGAAAACCCCAATAATGCTTAAATTTAAGATTAAAAATTTTAAATCTAGAACTAGCCTCTAGATTGCATGACATCTGCAGAGCAAAGACAAATTCATTATCATGAAAATCCGTTTTGGCTTTGTGAAAAAAGAACTATTCAAGTGAAATGCATTAGTAATATGAAATATAGTTATTTTTAACATTACAAGAAAGGGTTAGAGTTATTCTGAAATTCTAATCTCTTATGGATTTTCATAAACCCTTTCCTATGTCAACTCTCAAGATAAAGAAACACATTATGTCTCTTCACTATCAGCATGCAGCTGAGCTGTCCTTGTGGCCCACTGAAGAGCCAAAATACCCAGCGCCATCACTGGACAGTCACGTTATCAGTCTCCTAAAAGATTGACTTAGACTAATGTGTTTTCAGACCTCCTCAAATAGAAGTACATCAACAAATAGATAGGGATAACCCCAGAAAATCCACTACAGTGACCATCTGCTTAATGCTTAAGCTATACCTAAATTGGTATATTGAGTGAAAATGAAACCATTGGTTCAGAAAAACAAAACAGCAAACAAAGTGAGAGAAAAGATGGACAGTTTGGAATAGTTTCTCCTCTGTTATTGTTGTAAAATAGCTTTAAGAGTGTTTTTTCTGGATTGGAGTTTGAATAAAATAAGCAATTTGAGGTAAGTTCACTAAACTCTTGGGCCTTTTTGCAATTTTCTTACCTTTTAAAAAGTTATTTTTTTTTAATTTTCTGTAATGAAATTATGAACATATCCTTTTAATTTAGGTCAGAGTCTTATGTCACTGTGTTCACTGATAGTCAACTTATCTAAAATTTCACCTCAAAAAAGTTGATTTGACTAGCTGACTACACTGAAAAAACCTAGGGGAAGTTTCTGATGTCAAAGAGAATGAGAAGAAAACATGTTTTTCTTTCCCTTTGTGACCACAATTAATTGTTGTTAGGATGGTAGGAAAAGCAGGAAATCCTATCTTAACGGCTCCATTACTGTTGGGTGTGAACTGAACTCCCTTTTAGCGTGATGACAACACTATCTATTTATCTGGAAACAAGATGCTGGATATCTGCTTCGTCACAGTATCAAATTCTGCATTCACTTTGATTATAAACTGATGCAATGAACATATTTAATAGCACAACTGTCAATGTTTAAAGCAGAATAAGCAACCACAGAGACGTGTAAGCCTTTATGTACTCAAGATACTTCAAGTAATACAGATCAAACCCACCTTTCTCAGTGTCTGATGATAGTTCTAGTGCTAAAGGCGTGCTGTCACTGGCTGTTGAATATTTTTGCCGCAGGCTGAAAGCCAGCTCCTGAAAGTCGTCCAGTATTTCTGTTTCTTCGTCCAAATTACTTGTGTCCATATGGCGATCATAGTCGTGTTTAGTGTCCCGGCTATCAAGCATCTTCTCAATCTCGTCCAAGATAGTGTTCTCAGAGGCTTCCAGGATGCCTTCGAGCGCATTTTCAATGTCCTCTGTAGTACCCGTCTGTGACTGACGGGTAGCCTGAAACTCTATGTCCAGATCCATGAACATGGCCTCCAGTTTGAAGAGATTTTTTAGACCCAGAAGCTTTTGGACCTGCTCCATCTTCTCCTCTGTGAAGTGATCCCACAGCAGAGTCAGTCTCATTACGCTTTCGCTGTATTCTGGCTCTGGAGGTGACACGGTAGGTGGACTTGTTTCAGGCAAGGTTTTGTCTGACTGCGAGAACAAAAGCGCGTTTTCATCTTCAAGTAATTCTTCTCTCTCTTCATCGTTCTCCTCCTCCGCATCTGGAGTCTCATATTCTTCCATCATCTCCCTTGTATGCAGTGCATCCTGAATCTCTGGCTCATCAATATGTAATTCTGTTTGACTGTTATTACTTCCTAAATCTGTCATTGAATCATTGGGTATCTGATTAGGCAGGCTGTCATTTACTACATTATCATCATCTCTGAGGTCTGAGTCACTGGACCTCTCATTAGCGGACAAGTCGAGGTGTTTTTCACTTTCGGTCATGTTTTCTTTTTCATCCACTGCACTCTCTAATTCCTGCTCTGCAGCAGCAATACTGTCTGGTATTGCTGCCTTATCCTCAGTGACATCTGGATCTTTGTGCACCTCCTGCTCGTCTTTGTCTTCAGCGATCTCTGAATCCTTGGGCTCCTCCTGCTCGTCTTTGTCTTCAGTGATCTCTGAATCCTTGGGCACC